CCTGTGCGCTGTGTGAGCCGCACCAGGCGGGCGTTGGTGCACGGTTCTGTGTGTTTGCCGTGAGCGTGAGCAGCGGACCGCGAGAGACAGAGGAGCAGCAGGACGGGGTAGAGGCTCCAATGGCCCGCCCCGCCCCCCAGGGGAGTATACCCCCGTGCCAAAAGCCCGAGGTGCGCGAGGTCGAAGGTCATCGGGGCGCTCAAGGGTCGACCTGATGGACCCAGACTGTGATGACCACAGCCAGACGGGCTCCCACGCGTGGCGGGCTGCGGAGGGGGGAGCGGCTCCCACAGCCCTGGGGCCCCCCGGGGGGGCGTTTGCTCCTGCGGTCGGTGGCAGCCGCACTGCAAAGTTCGCGGGAGTAGGTGGCTGGCGGAGGGGTAACCTTTCGCACCCGTGACAGCCGGGGCTGCGAGCTGCTGCCAGCTGCCACGGTGAGCAGCGCCTAGTCTACTTTGTCCATCCTGCTCCTATTCCATTCAACCTGTTTTACTTAATGAAATAAACGAACGGGCGGGGAAAATCCGCAAGTAACAATTTGCTTAGCTTACACATTCTAGAGAGCGCTCTTCTTTCCCCCACCTACCCTCTTCTCCGTTCTGCCACCCTCCGAGGGAAACGTCAATGGTTTCGCACCCTGCCGCCCAGATGGGCCGCGCCGAAAGGTGGAGCACAAGAGGGCGCGGACGACACTTCAAGGGCGTCGTCGCAGCGGACGGGGCCGGCGCTGTGCGAAGGGGGTGGGGGCGGATGTGGGGGCCGCGCGAGACTCGCAAACGAGCACGAGGCACCTGTGGCCGTGCCCTGCGGGGCCCTGCCCCCCCGCCGCGCCGACCCCAGCCCGCCGTGTCACGTGCCGTAGAGTGGCGAGCGCGATGGGGGGCACAATGTAGATGTGTAAAACTGAGGAAGAAATGTCCTCTCTGTTGCCGTTCGGCTTTTATGAAACTAGGTAGATGTACGCCAGACCACGTCTCGCGTAACAGGCTTCGCGATATCTCACGAAACACTGTTACGCTGCGACGCGCCTGGCATACATCTACCTAGGCCTGCGGCGCTGACACCTGAGTCGGGTAGTGCAAAAATGCACACAAAGATACGGGCCTCCGGCCCGTTAACGGCCCGTCACTTTGGCTAAGAATGCATGGTTGTACACTTTTTCGCTTATTTTCGTCAAAAACACCCTCTAGCGCCTCAACGGTTTGAGCTAGAGCAAAACGGAGAAAATTTTCGCCCAAAGGGTTCTACTTTGATGAGTTACCCCCTAGGAGACTGTGAAAAATAATATTTTTAAAAACATTATTTGTGGGACCTGTGGTTTTTGATTTTTTTTAAATCCAATTTTTGAGCTAGAATGCTCTTTTTCGAACTTGATCTGTCTTTTTATGATACAAAACGACCCTGAAAATCCCAGGTCGCTAGCTCAATTCATTCTTGAGTTATCGTGATGACAGACAGACACACAGACAGACAGACAGACAGACAGACAGACAGACGCGAAACTTTTTGATCATCACTGGAGTAATAGGCTTCGCTATCGCTCAGCCAACAAGGAACAAGCATTTTTACTTTGCATCTGAAAAGACGTGTCCATCGTTGGATAGATTAAAGAGGTAGTCTAATAGACATCTATTGGAAAAATGTCTTCGTAAATTTACAACAAAGTTTGTATGATTCACAAAAAGTCTTGTAAATTTACGACAGACCATTCTTGCTTGTCAATGAACTCCAAGTCGACGTAATACTTGTAATTTTACAATTTGAAATTTTAATTTCACACTTCACGTCATGGAGTTTTCATGTAACCCTTCCAAGCTCACAGTGAGGTGGTCTAGGTGGACAGTTTGAGACGTCTCTTGTTGTCCTGCCCCCTTAGCCTCGGACGTGGCCATGGACGCGACGCAGGAGATGGTGGCGCTGGCGGCGTGCAACCTGCTGGGCTCGCTGGTGCAGGCCATGCCCGTGTGCGGGGCCTTCACGCGCAGCGCCGTCAGCCACGCGTCGGGCGTGCGCACGCCCATGGTGGGCCTCTACACGAGCGTGCTCGTCATCCTCACGCTCGAGTTCTTCACGCCCTGCTTCTACTACATCCCGCGCGCCACGCTCGCCGCCGTGCTCGTGTGCGCCGTCGCCTCCTTCATCGACGTGGCCATCGTGGCGCAGCTTTGGCGCACCAGCAGTAAGTACCAAGACAATTCAAAGTCTATGGGAATAAAAACATTTAGCTTTGTGATTTGCATTGCAACTTTTTGTGATTTTCACCTTTACGTTTAACATTATTGCAAAGGGTTTGTGTATATTTTATTTTTTTAGTGAATGGTAATTTTTGCACTCGTATTACTATCTGAGTCTGTATGCATTAAAATGCGTAATTACTCATTCAACTCAAATGCATCCGGTGTCCATGTTAAAGCCTCTAAGAGTTTGGAGATTTAACAAAAAAGCCTTAAAACGAGAGACAAGGGAAAGGCTACTGTTTCTGGAGGAACAATTGTTAGAAGACCCCCCGCTATCGTCTCCCAATTTCAAACCCCTTAACCACCTTAACGAAGGCACCCTGAGGCCCGGCCCCACTTGAGACATGGCGAGTGCTGCTTTCTCGTTTGGTTATTCTTGGGACTCAGGCGTCGTGCCCCGTGCTGGTCGTCTCGTCTTCCTACAGTGTATTTCTTTGTGTTTTTCGCCTGACAATGGAGAGTCTGATTTTTTCGCACCCCCAAAACTATCTTAAACTTCCCATGAACTTAATTTTTTCGAAAACCATTTTTCTTCTTCCACAGACTTAATACTTTGAATTAGGCAAAGTGTTTCCTTATAGCAAGAATTTTGTCTTGAAAAAATGCCAAATTCACTCAAACAGTCCATGCTGGATGATTCAAGAATACGTAGAGCCTGGGCCTGTTCTGAAGTGGAAATGGGTCGTCGTGAAAAGGTACCTCACAGCACCCTAAGCACGCTGGGGTCCTCCTCTAATTGGCGGCACAGCAGCAGCAACCCCGAAGAGGAGGAAGAGGAGGAGGAGAGGGAGGGGAGGGTGCCTCGCAGGCCAGGGCCGCACGGCCGACGCCTGGCTCGGCTCGGCCTGCGGCTTTATGGAATCGCTGCCAAGCCAGCCACAGGTGGGCGTGCCAAGCCGGAGCTAGTGGGGGCGGGGAGGAGACGGGAAAGGAAAGGAGAAAAGGAGAGAGGAGAGAGGGAAAATTAAAGAAGACGGGGAAACTCGGCGCGAGGGGGGGGGGGGCATTGTGTTCGTTTTGAGCCCTAACGAGCCTAATAAGGACTCGTGGACGGTAATGGTAGTGGGGCTGGGAGGGGCGGGACAGGGACGCTCGCCTTATCATTCATCGTTAACAAACTCATGCAGGTACAGTACGCCTTCGCGGATCCTTATTGCGTTAAGCACACCTGGGCGCGGTCGGGGTAGCGGAGCGGGGCGGGGCGTGGGATCCTTTGAATATGCATGCAATTTCCCAGTTGTCACGGCCAAGGTTTATTTCACCCGGGTTTGAGATTGTGTGGCTCTTAAGTCTCGCGGTGGAGCAGCCCGGGCGGCGGGTGGTTTGGGGGGAAAAGGGGTTGGGGTGAAGAGAAAGGAGGGGCGGAGAGGAGAACAGAGACCGAGGGGGGTGTTGAGACAGACTGTGGGGAGGTACCCTAATGGCCGGGCTGTGTTCGGCGCAACATTCTCTCTCTCTCTCTCTCTCTCTCTCTCTCTCTCTCTCTCTCTCTCTCTCTCTCTCTCTCTCTCTCTCTCTCTCTCTCTCTCTCTCGCTCGCTGGACGCTCCGCCTGCTTTGTCTATCTCCCGCACAACCCGTCTCGCGCCGTTCTGGGCCCTCGCGTGCCTGCGCTCCGCCGCGCTCCACCACCAGCTTCAAGGGCATCGGGCGCAAACTCTCATATGCTGCTTCTGCTGCTGCTACTGCTACACTCGTCAACGCTCCGCTGGCCACTCTCTCGGCCCGGAAGTGAAAAGGGCTCGCTATCGGCGCGTGTACGCGTCGGGCATGCCTAAGTCACGCAGCGTAGCGTGCCGAGATGCGGCGGGGGGGAGAGAGAGAGAGAGAGAGAGAGAGAGAGAGAGCGGGAGAGAGAGGGAGAGAGAGGGGAGGGGGGGAGTGAGGCGGTCTGCTCTGCCTTTGCCTTTATCTACCCCTGAAGCTGTGTCCGCTCTCGCACCACCACCACCCGGGATACGCCCTGACAGCGGAACCACCGCCGCAGCTCCCCGCCCTGCCCCGCCCTACCCAGCTCCTCCCCCCGCCCCCCGATGACCCGGGGCCTTTTGGGCGGTGCATGATGGAGCAGCTCTGACGGAGTTTACGGGCAGCCAGGCTGGGCAGATTCGGGAGGGGGGAGGGCTTGTAGCTGGACGCCACACACGTCGCAACGGACTTAATACGAACTGGCGGGTACTCTGCAAACCGCTGAAAGCGAGTGTCACGCTGCAAATTTACACGGTTATGCTCCTAAAATTTGCAGTCGAACCTGCTATCAAAACCAAAAGGCAGCAAAATTCCGGTTTGTAACTTCGAAAATGAGTTCTTTGGCCGTTTTACCCAAGCTTTTATATGTTTACCATCTTTGTTCTATAGGTTTCACCACTTGTGAGGTCTGTAAGCTTACATGGTACGGTCCGCGCACTAGCGGCCACTCTGTAGGCTTGTCGGGTCGAGCGCACACCTCGGGGCCCCGCTCCGCCGCGCCCGCCGCCTGTCCCCGCCGCTCCGCTGCTGCCGCTATCCCAAAGTTGGGTAAACTGCAATTTACCTCTCCGAGTTGACAACACTTTAATCTTCTGCCGGGCTGGGTGGGCCTGGAGCCCAGGCCGAGCAACGCCGCCGACGGCTAGGCAGACCAACAAGGCGGCAAATCGGCCGAAGGGAGCGGCGAGAGAGGGGGAGGGAGGGGGAAGCAGCCCTTCTCTAAACGTCAAAGAAAGTATAAATTTCGCACTTTTCATATCGGCGGCTCGTGGAGGCGGCCCGAGGAGCCACGCGCGCCCCCTTAGCGGCGCTCTGCCTATTTGCCTCGGACTTGTATAAATCGCGCACGATATATCGGGCGCTGGTAAGGCGCGGGGCGACGAGAGCGAAGGCGAGAGCGAATGGGGATCTAGATATTGGCGAGCGCCGGGGAATAATTTATGAGAAGCTGATGGCAACAGCTGCCGCGCCGCGGCTCCGGGTCGTGATAAATAATTGTCTGTCGGGGATGCGATGGGCGTGGTCGGGCCGGCAAGGGAAAGGGGGGGGGGAGGGGCAAGACGAACGGGGTGGTGCTGGTGGTGTGATGTGCTGGGGGGTAGAGTTACTTTTGATCGGTGGGGTATTTTTATTCTCTTTCGCTACCGTAGAGATAAAAATATAACAATAATGGAGTGGTTATTTTCGGACATGTTAACGAGTGTGTCGTAACTCGCGATATTCTGTCAAAGTGCGCCTGTTTTCACGAAATTTCGTGTTTTTGTCATTCGGCGCGGAGAACATGTAGTATGGTGTGTGAGTCGTGTTGTCTGTGTCGTCAGCCTTTCCCGCTGCTGCTGCTGACATGGGGCACTTTACCCTGGCGAGCAGGAGTTAAAGTTTGATGCCCTCTCGCATGGCCGTGAATTTGTAATGTTTCATCGCGATAGACGACGATGCCGTTGAGCCTCACGCCGCTGCTGCTGCTGCTGTTGCTGCTGCTGCTACCGCCATCGCCGCCGTTGGTGTCGCACATCGACACTTGAGGACCACCGTTGCGGCTGCTTGTGGAAACCTTTATCGACTTCCCTGCGGGGTCGTCGACGGAGGTGGAGGGTGCTGGAAAGTACCCTCCGGTGGGAAAAGATACACAGCCTTATAGTGTGATCAGAAGGTGCGAATGACCCAGTCTAAAATAACCGTGGGTAACCATGGTTCACTAGGAGTCATAATATCATGGTAACTTGGCGATGGGATGGATCATGGTTTCCGGTTTATCCACTATAGTTTTCCCAACCTGTAACCATGGTGTTTCTGGTTACTATGGATTAGTATGACCATAAAACTGTGGTTAATCAAAACTAAACCGTGAGAGTCCATGGACTACCATATTTTACCATGGCCTTCCCCATGATTATTTTGGTCTGGGAACGTTCCGCGTTTAATTTATGGTTGCTTGAAGGGCTCAGGTTTTATTTGGGTTGGATATTTGATAGCAGTGGTTTTGCTTTCCAAGCCTACGATCATTTTTCGCAATATTTTGCCTCAATTTCATCTCAGGTTTCAGCGTTACGCGATCTGGACTGTTTCTCATTTTCCGCATATGGGCGCCCCATTTCCCTTGTCCACCATTCGTCGTTACGAACCCGCTAAGTGGAGTCCCTGCAAGCTCTCATAACGCCTGGTAGGTAGGCAACACCCTGCCTGCAGGGCATGCGTGCTCTGCGGGCTGGCCTACCCCCAGCCTCGTAGGCGCTGAGCAGCCGTAGCTTGCCGAATCGGAGTAAAATTGATGAACTCTCCGAACGATTCCTTTTGCGGCTCAGTTGGCTTAGGGGCCACAGGAGCGTGGCGGCGAGTACCTGCTGGTGTGGCCCTTGCTGACGGCTGACAGTGGGGTGTGTGGGGGCCGCAGGAGCGTGGCGGCGAGTACCTGCTGGTGTGGCCCTTGCTGACGGGGGGAGGGGGGGAGTGAGGCGGTCTGCTCTGCCTT